CCCATGTGCAAAGTTGCACATCTCTTTCAGTACGGGGGAAGTGGGGAGATCAGGAGCAGACGTGCTCAAAGGGTGAGATAACCTGATTGTATGCCAAGAGCCTATTGTTTTCTTTTTTTGCAGGGGACAGAGTCACTCTGTCACCCATGCTAGAGTGCAATGGCACAGTCTTGGCTCACTGCAACCTCCACTTCCCATGTTCAAGTGAGTCTCCTGCCTCAGCCTCCCAGAGTAGCTGGGACTATAGGTGTGTGCCACCACACCCAGCTAATTTTTGTATTTCTAGTAGAGACAGGGTTTCACTATGTTGGCCAGGCTGGTCTCGAAGTCCCAACCTCGTGATCCACCCATCTCAGTCTCCCAAAGTGCTAGGATTACACGTATGAGCCACCGTGCCTTGCCTGGCCTATTGTTCTTTCTTCTTTCTTCTTTTGGCCTCTTGTTTTCTTATCTGGGCTTGTTAAACCATTTGTCAGGTACCACCAAGGGAAATGATAGGGCTCACCAATACACCCACTTTGCATTTTTGTTGAGATCAGGCTTTGAGTTGGTTTTGAGTCTGTTTTGCCTGAGTGCGCTCCTCCTTGTGTTGTCCAAAATTTGTTCCCACTTGTTTGTGTATCTGTCTTATTCCTTTTGATACCATGTAAACTTGAAAATGGGAGGTATTGGGTCCATTCCTGCTGAGAAGCCTCTGGGTCTTCCTAAAAAATATGTATTTTTAGGAGCTCAATGGCTCAAAGTCAGCTTCATTAAAAGCTAACATCCAACATGTGTACATGTGCGTATACGTTTGTATTTAAAAGGCATTCATGTTTTTGTGTTTATCTCCTAAGACCTTGCGTTTGTGACAAAAATTTTCTCAGATAAACTGAATTCTGTTTTATTCATTAATAGCTATTACAACAGAAGCTACTCTGGAATTTTTTTTTTTTTTTTTTCTTTTTAGACAGAGTTTCTTGTTTCCCAGGCTGAGGTGCAATGCCACGATTTCGGTTCACTGCAACCTCCACCTCCCAGGTTCAAGCGATTCTCCTGCCTCAGCCTCCCGAGTAGCTGGGATTATAGGCACACACCAACACACCTGGCTGTTACAGGCATGAGCCACCACGGCTGACCTTGGAAAAAAATTTTAAGTGCACTGTAAAAGCATCACATAGTCTAGTCTCATAATTCTCCCTTTTTGAAAACCCGGGATTCAGTGTGTGTTCTGCTACGTAATTTTTGTTTGATCTGGCATCCATCTTTAACCTCCTTCTAGCACCACCAGACTCTTTATGTACCTTGAGATGTAAACCTTGCCCTTTGATTTTCACCTAAGAGTCGTTTTCTTCCATATGCAAATTTAGGGCTATGTAGCTGACAACTGCCAGAGTAATAAACCAGGTCATCAAGAGTTTGCAAGTCTAAGATAGGAAAAAGGAGGTCTTATGAATCTACGAAATGTACTTCTACTGGCATGGCTAATACGTCTATGTATTTATGTCTTGTGTACACCATATTTCACTACTGAAAATATATAAAAGAGCTCTAACTAGGCCGGGCGCGGTGGCTTATGCCTATAATCCCAGCACTTTGGGAGGCCGAGGCAGGTGGATCACGGGGTCAAGAGATCAAGACCATCCTGGTCAACATGGTGAAACCCTGTCTCTACTAAAAAATACAAAAATTAGAGGGGCATGGTGGCGCATGCCTGTAGTCCCAGCTACTTGGGAGGCTGAGGCGGGAGAATTGCTTGAACCCAGGAGGCAGAGGTTGCGGTGAGCCGAGATTGTGCCATTGCACTTCAGCCTGGGTAACAAGAGCGAAACTCCGTTTCTAAATAAATAAATGAGCTCCAATTTGCTCAAATAAATAAAAGCACTTGTAAATGTATATATAAATTTATTATATAACTTATAAATTTATAAATATATTTTTTGAGACAGAGTCTCACTCTGGTGCCCAGGCTGCAGTGCAATGGTGTGATCTCGGCTCACTGAAACCTCCAAGTCCCAAGTTCAGGCCAGGCTTGAGCCACCTCGCCTGGCCAAAAATAGGTAACATTTTTAAAATGTTTATTCAGAACTCAGAATTTTCTCATTATTTATGTATACTTGTATATAATTTTTATTATAACCATAAAAACAACCCTGTAGTCAATAAAGATTGTACATTCTGAAGTATCTAGAAGTGTAGAATTGGTTTGTAATACAAAGGAGAAATGCTGGAGTTGATGGATACTTCTTTTTGCCCTGATGTGACTAATGCATAAAATCATAAGCCTGTATCAAATGCCATACATGCCATCACTTTTGTATCCACAAAAATTAAGAGAAATACGTTTAAATCAAAAATAGAACAAAAAATCTAACCTATGGAAACAATTTTTTTTTTTGAGATGGAGTCTTGCTCTGTCACCCAGGATGGAGCGAAGGGGCGTGATCTCAGCTCACTGCAACCTCCGCCTCCCAGGTTTAAGCGATTCTCTTGCCTCAGCCTCCGGAGTAACTGGGACTACAGCTGTGTGCCACCACGCTCAGGTAACTTTTTGTATTTTTAGTAGAGGTGGGGTTTCACCGTGTTAGCCAGGATGATCTTGATCTCCTGACATTGTGATCTGCCTGCCTCAGCCTCCCAAAATGCTGGGATTACAAGCGTGAGCCACCGCACCCAGGCTCTTTAACTTATTAGCAGTTTAAAGCAACTAGCAAAAATAATTATTAGAAATGTTAGTCTATTATGTTATCAAATAGCATACAGTTACCCTCTTTTACCTAAACCCTTGAGTAAGGGGGGATGGGTAAAAGTTAGTGGCATAAAAACACTTCATTGAATGCACAATGGTTTTAACAAGTTAAAAAAAAAGTTTAAGTTCACACACAATTTAAAAAGTTTTAAACATAACGCATTTTATTACATACAACAGCGTAAAATAATAGGCTACAAATTAACTTTGATTTTAACTAAGATTAAAAATAACTTTTTCTTACTATTAATGCAGAAGAATATCACTCTGAATGTCTACCTCATGATGGCTTAATACTGTAAGTTAAACACAAAAAGCCACTCCACTCAGCTTTTTATCATGCATCTTACAGTAATGTCCTTACTCTTTCAGGTAGAAAGTATCATAAATAATGCCCACCTAACAGAAATGATTTCTTATCTCTGATGAACAATTAATTGATCACATGCTTTCATGTGAATACAATAGGAATGAAGAGCATTAAGCAATTTGAGAGTTGAATTACATTTTTGCTTTTCAAAAACTCAATTTTTTCAAGAAAAAAATTTGAATTATAAATCTACAAAAAATTCTCTACTTATTTTAAGGTTATATACAATTCATCTACCAACTTTATTTTCTATACTCTGCATTGTTTAAGTGCAATGTCTGAAGTGTCAGTACCTTAGATGATATTTCTACTGTGAATTCTTTTTTGTTTTGAGATGGAGTCTTGCTCTGTCACCTAGGCTGGAATGCAATGTCATCACAGGCTCACCACAACTTCTGCCTCCTGGGTTCAAACGTTCTCCTGCCTCAGCATCTGGAGTAGCTGAGATTACAGGCGCATGCCACCATGCCCGGCTAATTTTTGTATTTTTAGTAGAAGCTGGCTCTCACCATGTTGGCCAGGCTGGTCTCAAACTCCTGATCTCAGGTTATTTACCCACCTTGGCCTACCAAAGTGTTGGGATTACAGGCGTGAGCCTGGCCTGAATTCGCTATTTACAGTCTTAATTTTTGATTAAATTATTTTTACATTTACTGCATTTGCAAAAAATATATTTTAGCATGAGGCCTCTGGTTTTTTATTGCATTTTAGGTTTTAGGGTACATGTGAAGAACATGCAAGATTGCTGCATAGGTATACACATGGCAGTGTGATTTCCTGCCTTCCTCCCCATCGGCCTCTGGTATTTTCTAAGCTGTAGTTTTTTAAAAGATGTTTCTCCAAATGCATTACATTTGGAGAGTTTTTCCTCCAATATAAATTTTCTGGTATTGAACAAAGTTTGAGCAACTGCTTCAGGGTTTTCCTCCAGTACAAAATAGTACACTGTATCTGTGATACAAGTAAAGGCACTACAACTCTATTCGTATTTGTAATGTTTGTCCTCAAAATACTTTGTATTTTCCGAGATGAAGTTTTTTGCTCTTGTAGCCCTGGCTGGAGTGCAGTGGTGTGACCCCAGCTTACTGCAACCTTCATCTCCCAAATTTGAGCAATTCTCCTACCCGTGCCTCCCAAGTGGCTGGGATTACAGGGGCCTGCCACCACACCCAGCTAATTTTCGTATTTTTAGTAGGGACACAGTTTCACTATGTTGGCCACGCAAGTCTCAAACTCAGGAATTTGAGGTCCTGACCTGATTCTGACCTGATCCACCCACCTTGGCCTCCCAAAGTGCTGGCATTACATGTGTGCCACACCAGCACACCTAGCTCCTCTTCTTCACTTTAAAGGCTTCTATTTTCTGAAAGATCTCGACAAAAACTGCATTTTTATTAAGTACTAACTCTCTAATATTGAGTAAGATGTGAGCAGATATTTCTTGGAGATGGAGTCTCACTCTGTTGCCCAGGCTAAAGTGCAGCGATGGCTCACTGCAACCTCCGTTTCCTGGGTTCAACCAATTCTCCTGCCTCAGCCTCCTGAGTAGCTGGGACTACAGGCACGCAACACCACACCCAGCTATTTTTTTTTTTTTTTTTTTTTTTGAGACAGAGTTTCGCTCGTTACCCAGGCCGGAGTGCAATGGCGTGATCTCGGCTCACCGCAACCTCCGCCTCCTGGGTTCAGGCAATTCTCCTGCCTCAGCCTCCTGAGTAGCTGGGATTACAGGCACGCGCCACCATGCCCAGCTGATTTTTTGTATTTTTAGTAGAGATGGGGTTTCATCATGTTGACCAGGATGGTCTCGATCTCTTGACCTCGTGATCCACCCACCTCGGCCTCCCACAGTGCTGGGATTACAGGCTTGAGCCACCCTGCCGGCCGCTAATTTTTTTTTTGTAGTAGAGATGGGGTTTCACCATGTTGGCCAGGATGGCCTCAATCTCTAGACCTCCTGGTCTGCCCACTTTGACCACCAACAGTGCTGGGATTACAGGCGTGAGCCACCGCACCCAGCCGATGTGAGCAGATATTAATGGCTTTTCCACATTCCTTACATTTGTACAATCTTTCTGAAGTATAAATGCTTTCCTGTGCAATACGGAGCATTTATTAGAAATGCTGCCACATTCTTTACACTTCTAGTTTTCTTCAATATGGATTTTCTTACCTACAATCAAGTGTGACAACCATTTAAAGGCTTTGTGAAATTTTTCACCAGTATGATTTATGTGAGAAAGTTTGAGGTGTTGTCAAAATCATCATCACATCTTTCAGGTGTCTGAAGTTTTCAGTATTATCTATCTTATGTTTATTGAGGTTTGAGGATTGGTTGTATGTTGCCACATTATTCGTATTTTCATAGTTTCTCTCAAATATAAATTGTCTTATGTGTAGCAAGGTGTGAGGACCAGTTAAAGGCATTGCCACATTTTTTACATTTGTAGGGTTTCTCTCCAATATAAATACTCTTATATGTACTGTTGAGAATCGGTTAAAGGCTCTGCCACAGACTTCACATTTGTAGAGTTTCTCTCCAATATGAATTTTCTTATCTGCAGTAAGGGTTGAGGATAGGTTAAAAGCTTTGTCACATTCTTCACAACTGTAGCATTTCTCTCCAGTATGTATGGTTAGTAAAGTATGAGGATTGGTTAAAAGCTTTGCCACATTCTTCACAATTGTAGTTTCTCTCCAGTATAAATTATCTTGTGTAGAGAGGTGTGATGACTGATTAAAGGCATTGCCACATTCTTCTCATTTGTATGGCTTCTCTCCAGTATAAATTACCTTATGTTTAGTAAAAGTTGAGGACCAGTTAAAGGCTTTGCCACAGTTTTGACATTTGTAGGATTCTCTCTGGTATGAATTTTCTCACATTCTGAAGGTTTGAAGGTAAATTAAAAGCTTTGCCACATTCTTTACATTTGTAGGGTTTCTCGCCAGTATAAAAGGTCTTCTGTGTAGAAAAGAAGACTGGTTAAAGGCTTTACCACATTATTCATACTTGTAGTGTTTCTCTTCAGTATGAATTTTCTTATGTGTAGTAAGTTTTTAGGATGAATTAAAAGTTCTGTCACATTCTTCACATTTGTAGGGCTTCTCTCCAGTATGAATTTCCTTATGTGTAGTAAGATTTGAAGATAGGTTGAAAGCTTTGCCATAATCTCCACATTTGTAGGGTTTCTCTCCAGTATGGATTATCTTATGTATAGTAAGAGATGAGAACTGGTTAAATGATTTGCCACATTCTTCACATTTGTAGGGTTTCTCTGAAGTATGAATTTTCTTATGTGTAGTAAGGTTTGAGGACTGGTTAAAAGCTTTGCCACATTCTTCACATTTATAAGGTTTTTCTCCAGTATGAATTTTCTTATGTGCAGTAAGGGTTGAGGACAGGTTAAAAGCTTTGCCACATTCTTTACATTTGTAAGGTTTCTCTCCAGTATGAATTATCTTATGCCTATTAAGAGTCGAGGAGCAGTTAAAGGCTTTGCCACATTCTGCACATTGGTAAGGTTTCTCTCCAGTATGAATTCTCTTATGTATAGTAAGGTTTGAGAATCGGTTATAAGCCTTTCCACATTCTTCACACTTGTAGGGTTTCTCTCCAGTATAAATTCTCTTATGGTTAGTAATGTTTGAGAATAGGCTAAAAGCTTTTCCATGTTCTTCCAATCTGTAGAGTTTCTCTCCAGTATGAATTATCTTTTGTGTAGTAAGATGTGAAGACTGGTTAAAGACTTTGCCATATTCTTCACATTTGTAGGGTTTCTCTCCAGTACGAGTAATTTTATGTAGACTAAGGTGTGAGGACTGTTTAAAGGCCTTGCCAAATTCTTCACATTCTTTGAGTTTCTCTTTAGTATGAATTATCTTATGTCTACTAAGTTGATAGGACTGATTAAAAGCTTTTCCACATTCTTCACATTTATAGGGTTTTTCTCCAGTATGAATTCTCTTATGTTTAGTAAGGGTTGAGAATCGGTTAAAGGCCTTGCCACATTCTTCACATTTGTAGGGTTTCTCTCCCGTATGAATTTTCTTATGTTCAGCGAGGTTTGAAGACTGGCTAAAAGCTCTGCCACATTCTTCACATTTGTAGGGTTTCTCTCCAGTATGAATTTTCTTATGTCTAGTAAGGGTTGAGGATCGATTAAAAGCTTTTCCACATTCTTCACATTTGTATGGTTTCTCTCCAGTATAAATTTTCTTATGGTTAATTAGGTTTGAGGGTTGGTTAAAAGCTTTGCCACATTTTTCACATTTGTAGGATTTCTCTGGAGTATGAATTTTTTTATGTTTAGTAAGGTTTGAAGATTGGTTAAAAGCTTTGCCACATTGTTTACATTTGTAGGGTTTCTCTCCAGTATGAATTATCTTATGAATAATAAGAGTTGAGGACTGGTTAAAGGTTTTGCCACATTCTTCACATTTGTAGGATTTCTCTGCAGAATGGATTTTCTTATGTTTAGTAAGGTTTGAAGATCGGCTAAAAGTTTTGCCACATTCTTCACATTTGTAGAGTTTCTCTCCAGTGTAAATTTTCTCCTGTTTCTTAAGGTTTGAGGATATGTTAAAAGCTCTGCCACATTCTTTACATTGGTAGGGTTTCTTTCCAGCATGAATTCTCTTATGGTTAGTAAGATTTGAGAATAGATTAAAAGTTTTTCCACATTCTTCACATTTGTAGAGGTTCTCTCCACTAGGAAGTATCTTTTGTGTAGTAAGGTGTGAGGACTGACTAAAGACTTTGCCACATTCTTCACATTTGTAAGGTTTCTCTCCAGTATGATTTCTTTTATGTATAGAAAGGTGTGAGTCCAGTTTAAAGGCTCTGCCACATTCTTCACATTTGTTGGGTTTCTCTTCAGTATGAATTATCTTATGTCTAGTAAGCTGTGAGGACTGGTTAAAGGCTTTTCCACACTTTTCACATTTGTAAGAATTCACTCTAGTATGAAATCTTCTACGCTGAGTTAGTTGTGAAAGCATGCAAAATGATTTGCCACATTCTTTACATTTGAAATGTTTATTTCCAGTATGTCTTTTCTTATGTCTATTTGAATTTGAAAATTTATGAAAGACTTTCACATACTTATTACATTGGAGTATTTTGCTTGGGGTAGCTGTCAAACATTGGTTAACTCTGTTATAACCTCCTTTGTACTCCATACACTCATCCACACTTTTACAGCCTTTTTTTAACTGTAAATTCTCATGCCCACATTTTCTGTGTCTTCTCAGTGTCACATTTTGGAAAGAATCTTTTATGTTCTGCTCTGGCCAAAGGTCTTGGGCAAAATGAAAACACATAACTGAAAGAAATAAAAATAAGACATTACTCCACTTGCTAGACACAGATGAATATACTTTACAAATTTAATCTATAAAATTATACAAACTACATAAGCAAGATTGCATAGCAAAATGCCACAGGCTCCAATTTCTTCACAGACATATAACTAAAACATACTGACCAAAATACATTTGTGGAAAATTTATAAATAAGTTCAGTGTGTACAGGTCCCCAGGGGGCACAATGTGAAGAGCCACATAGAAGAAAAAGACAAGTCTGTTTTGTTTACCCAACAAAGCTCTTTCTGTTCCCCAATATAACATAGTGCCTTTAGAAGTAAATTGCCAACTCCTGGTTTCATTTTTAAAAGACAAGATAAATAATAACAAACATATACATCTTTATTTCTGGGTTCTGTGTCCCTTTGCAGACATTGGTTTCTGTCTCCCATGACATAAAGGGCTGAAAGAAATGGTGGTGTACTTTGGAATGACATTTTGAGTCTGCTGAAGTCAAAGGTAAATGTTATAGCACTGAAGAGACTGCAGTAGAAAACAGTTGTAGCAAGTGATTACTGACTATTCAGAAGAAACATGAACAAACTCTTTTAACTAAAAAAAAAAAAAAAAAAACTGAAAAAAACCCTAGAAAATCTTAGAGAAGACACATCCTAAGAACATGTTTGAAAGACTCTCAGGATGACTAGTTAAGACAAATGGCTTCAGACTATGCCAGGACAAAGCTGCATTATAAAGATGGTGACAGAGAGCTTGTTTTTACCAAATATCAATTAAAGATTACAATGTATACAAAATATTAGGGCAATACAGCCCATCAGAAATTATAAAATTTTCAGAAAGCAACCATTAAAAAATAAAAATATACAAATTAATTTTAAAAATTTAAAATAAATTGAATAAAACATGAGTGAATAGGAACAGAGACAACTACTAAAAATCAGAAAAATGAGAACAAAAAAAATATTAAAAAGAGCAGGAACCAGGAATTGTGGAGGTAAAAATACAAAAAAAAATTAAAAATTTAAAAGAAAAATTAATGTAAAATAAAGACACTCAACAAACTATAATACACACAAAGGTATTTATAACAAACAAATATATAAGCAAAATTTCAAAACTCACAAACAAGAGAATCTTGGGAACTGCAAGATGAAAGTGATGTGTGATTTATAATAATAGTCTTATGAGATAGCCAGTAAATATGTCAAGAAAATTTCACAGGCGAGAAAGGAACTGTGATATAGTCAAAGTCCTGAAAACAACAGCTGTAAAGTGAGAATAGTAACAACTGTCTTGCCAAATACCTTCCAAGTAAAACACCTTCCAAAAATAACAAAATTTGGCCATGTGCAATGGCTCACGTCTGGAATCACAGCACATTGGGAGACCAAGGTGAGTGGATCACTTGAGGTCAGGAGTTCGAGACCAGCCTGATCAACATGGTGAAACCCCATCTGTACTAAAAACACAAAAAATAATTAGCGAGGTGTGCTGGTGCACTCCTGTAATCCCAGCTACTTGGGAAGCCGAGGCAGAAGAATCACTTGAACCCGAGAGATGGCGGTTACAGTGAGCCAAGATCATGCCACTGCACTCCAGCCTGGGCAACAAGAATGAAACTCCATCTTAAAATAAATAAACATATATATGGGAAAATTCTGAAAATATATTTTGGCACTGCCTATGCCCTACATATCAAAGATGCTGAAAGGAGTTCCTTCCACTGAAAATGACATGATGCAAGAAAATAACACACAATCATATGAAAATACATAACTTTCTGGGAAAGATATGCACATATACAATAATGTAATTTTGTACCATTATCATAATGGTGCAGAAAGTATTTTTAATTATTCTCTGACATGTGAAAGATAGAATACAAATTATAGTAAACATCTGCTAATGAATATGTAACATAAAGATATAATTAGCAACCTCAATGACAAGGTTGAGGGCAGCTGTATGAATAAGAATTTTTGCATGCAAATAAAGTTGATTTTTAACTAGACTATAATATACTGTTTTATCTTGTAGAGGTTTTATGCAATCTCCAAGGAACCACAAAGGATATATTTGTGTAGACTGACAAAACAAAATAAGAAAGAAATAAAAGCATATAAATACAAAAATCAAAAAGACACAAAGGAAGAAAGAGAAAAAAGGGACTAAGAAACAAGAATCAAATTAAAGAATAAAATGTTAGCAAGTCTTTCTGTTTCAGAAGAATATATATAGAGTTAACTTTACTTAAATATCTATATAATAAATCAAGAGACATACTTTCAGCTAGGCACAGTGGCTCATGCCTTTAACCCCAGCACCTTCGGAGGCTGAAGCAGGTGGATCACCTGAGGTCAGGGGTTTGAGACCAGCCTGGCCAACATGGTGAAACCCCATCTCTACTGAAAATACAAAAATTAGCTGGGCATGGTGGTGGGTGTCTGTAATCACAGCTACACAAAAGGCTAAGGTGAGAGAATTGCTTGAACCCGGGAGGTGGAGGTTACAGTGAGCCGAGATTGCAACACTGCACTCCAGCCTGGGTAACAAGAGAAAAACTTTCTCAAAAAAAAAAAAAAGAGACATACTTTCAATAATGGAATTAATTAAAAAATTTTGAACACCAAGATCCAACTTGACTTTCTTCAGGGTAAGCTGAGATATAATTATAAAACAAGACTGAAAGTGGTACGATGGATGTATACATTCTACACAAATATTAACAAAATGAGAACAGAAGATGTCTAAAAAATTACACAAGATACATCTTAAGTCAAAAACTGTTATATTTTATAAAATATACCATAAGTCAAAACTCCAAAGAGAAACATTAAACAATAATAGATTCATTTACTAAGAACCTGTGACAAATTTGTATATACATGTGTGTTGCATGTGTGTTTGTATCTCACATTGTGGTAGCAAACACTGACAGAATAACAGAAATGAAACACATAGAGAACAATATAATTATAGTAGGATATTTCAATACCTGACTTTCTACAATAAAGATAAAACAAGATAGAAAATGAGGGAAGAGAGCACCTGAAGGCAGTAAAAAACAAATACATTTAACAAAAATACAGAAAACACTTCTCAACATTAGGATACACACGCTTTTCAATAGCTATACAACAATCTCCTTCAAAGACCACCTGGTACGCCAGATAAGAAGTCTTTTTTTTTTTTTTTTTTTTGAGGCGGATTTTTGCTCGTTACCCAGGCTAGAGTGCAATGGTGCGATCTCGGCTCACCACAACCTCTGCCTCCCGGGTTCAAGCAATTCTCCTGCCTCAGCCTCCCAAGTGGCTGGGACTATAGGCATGTGCCACCATGCCCAGCTAATTTTTTTATTTTTAGTGAGACAGGGTTTCACCATGTTGACCAGGATGGTCTCGATCTCTTGACCTTGTGATCTATCTGCCTTGGCCTCCCAAAGTGCTGGGATTATAGGCGTGAGCCACCGCGCCCGGCCAAAAACTGAATTTTTATGGATTACTTTTTATAACAAAAATGAAATGAGAATATAAAACAATAGAAAAAAACTTAAAAATTTACAAATATGTAGAAATCAACACACTCTTGAGCATGCTCTTGTTCAAACATTGAAATAATACTGTGAAGATGATACATACTGCTTAATCTACTAATTTAATGCAATGCAAAATTCACTGCATTTTTGAAGAAATAGGAACCACAGAAGTATATAAAATCTCAAAAGACATTAAAGTATACAATTTTCAAAAAAAAAAAAAGAAAAAAGTAATGTTAAAGGCATTGCAGTTCTTGATTTGAAAACACATTACAAAGCTACAAAGAATTAAATAATTGGTATGAGTATAAAGGTAAAAAAGTTGGCTAATAAAGTAGAATGCAGTACATATATAAACTTTCACATATTTGATCATAAGAGTAATTTGCATACCCATAATCATTGCAGCAACATCACTGAAAGCACATAAGTAAAAACAATGCAAATTTCTGTCACCAAACCATTCAGTAGATACAATGTGAAATACAGAAATACTTGAATATCACCTAGGATTTAAAAAGCAGGAAATATTCTAACAACTATAAAGATAAAGCTAGAAGTCATCATACGAAATGAAATGAGCCAGCCACAAAGAGAGATTGTATGAGATATACAAAGCAGATATATAAAACACTCCTAGAAACAGAAAAGAGTGGTGTTTAAAAAGTCTGACAAAATGGGAAAAACTGGTAGTTGTTTAATATGTACTGAGATTTAGCTTTGCAAAATAAAAACATTCTAGGGATATGTTGCATAACACATCAATATAATTAAGATGACTAAATTGAATATTTAAGAATACTTGATTGTCGGCCAGGTTTGGTGGCTAATGCCTATAATCCCAGCACTTCAGGAGGCTGAGGCAGACAGATCACCTGAGGTCAGGAGTTCAAGACCAGCCTGGTCAACATGGTGGAACACTGTCTCTACTAAAAATACAAAAATTAGCTGGGTGTGGTGGCAGTCACCTGTAATCCCAGCTACTTGGGAAGCTGAGGAAGGGAGAAATGCTTCAACCTGGGAGGCTGAGGTTGCAGATACAGAGTTATGACAGTTTTTGAGCTATCTTTCAATCCAAACATTTTTCTCCCACACAAAAACACAGATTTAAAAATAACTAAATGTTAGCCGGGCGTGCTGGTTCATGCCTGTAATTCCAGCACTTTGGAAGGCTGTGGTGGGTGGATCATCTGAGGTCAGGAGTTTGAGACCAGGTTGGCCAATGTGCTGAAACCCTATAGCTCATAAAAATGCAAAAATTAGCTGGGCAAGGTAGTGGGCACCTGTAATCCCAGCTACTCAGGAGAATGAGGTGGGAGAACTGCTTGAACCTGGGATGCGGAGGTTGCAGTGAGCCAAGATCAGGCCACTACACTCCACCCTGGGCAACAAAAGCAAGACTCTGTTCTAAAAAAAAACAAAACCTAAATGTTGAAATTTGGAGAATTTTTATGACTGCTCACC